GTGACAATTAACGTTCTTGTTGACAAGTCAAAAACAGCCGGACTGAAAATTCGACATTATTTTTTTCACTAAGGCTAGGCTGAAGCCGGAATGGTCAAGGCGTGGCTGTTATCTATGCCAAAATAAGTTTTAAATGTGATTTTGTGGCATGCAGTTGTGCAGGGCTAAACTGCAAACGAGAGAAGTGTTTCTTTATGCCTGGAAACCTGAAAAGCGTTTCTGATATGCGGTCCTGCGTGCAGTTTCCGACAAAGATATTTCAGGCTTTATTACAGCAGAAAAAGTTCAGACCTATCCGTAAGGTTTTACGAAATGTCGCTTATTCGCGGTTTCAAAGTTTTTCAAAAGACGGTTCAAAAGACTGTCACATTATCTGATTGGCTACTTAAAAAATGACGAACAATAGACAGATGTCGGTAGAAGCGAACAGGCGAATTCCTTGAAGCAGTTCAGAGGAAGTGGACGAAGAAGATGTCATCACTGGAGCAAGATGATTATTGGCCGGACGATTTGAATTCTTACTCGAACACACTATCTGAGACTGTTGCAGATAAAGGTAGTGGTGGCTCAAAGTCTACAGTATTTCTAACGATTAGTTGTCATGGGCTATCAAGCACACTATGATTAACAGCTCTAGAGATCACCGCTGGAGGTCTTAACTAAAGCCATGATGGTTTGTAAGTCCGCGTCCGAGTCGTTACTTGTCGTAATTCTGACATCCGTGGTGGATGTTGGCGTCTTGATTACTTGGCCATTTGGCCCACTGTCGACGGTATTGCTACTCGCCCGAGCACTCCCCACGTGTCGGATTCGCCTACTTAGGCAATGTCTCAGCACCGAAAATGGTACGAGAAAGTCATTGTGCTTGTTAATGGATTGCGTACCTGAGGACGATGATTCGAGCAGCTCGCGGCTCACGGGGTTGTCGGCTTTTGCAAGGATTTCGGTCTCTTGTGACTTCACAATATGTCCGGGTCCCGTAGATTTGGCCGCCACATGAGAATCGGAAACTTCAGGTCGATAAATTTCTTCTCTTAAGTAGGCAGATGTGCCTGCCTTGTATTAAAAATGGAGCCTAATAGTTAATCCGGCTAAAAGGAAACGAGTAGGTTGGTAAGCATAACTGACACCTCTCAACCATTCAATTCACCTGGCTGGTCGCAGTCCAGTGTACACCTATCGTCTGTCAGACAGTAATCGTTTAAATGAATTGTTACTTTTTCAAATGCCCTGATTCAAACCTCATATTGCCTATATTTGCTTCTAGAAATCTGCACACATGCGTAAGTAATTGTATATAAGCGTGAGGCTGTGAGGTACGTTAACAGAAGATGACGATGAGTTTAGAGGTATCATTCTTCACTTGCTCTCACAGACGAGCACATCAGACCCCATCTTGCGCCAAGAGAAGGACTGTATACGGAACGGTTAGCCCGGTGACGATAAAGTACACCCGTCGATAAAGCCCTTATGAAATAGGAAGGAACAGTTGTATATCACGAAGACCGCATATTCTACAATGGTAAAGTGGTGATCCAAGTCAGATATCAGCAACACGTTTTGAAGGAGCCCTATTCCGGGCATCAGGGTATGACCCGCATTAAACAACTCGCCTGAAAGTACATATATTGGCCTGAAATTTATAACGAAGTGGAATCTTTCGTTCGAAGCTGCGGCCCGTGTGGACGTGAGGCTAAAGTGCCACCGAGAGTACCGCTCGTGCCATGGCCTAGGGTAAGGAAACCTTGGAGTAGAGTCCATCTGGACTGCGCAGAACGGGTCTTCAATCAAATGCTTCTATTAGTTTTCGACGTCGCGGCAAGAAAAACGGAAGAACTCACAGCAAG